ACACTGGTCCTGATATAGGACAGATGTATGACTGATTCATACGCACAACTCATTGTGCTAGCCATAAACAAGGATTTTTTTGTTGCAGTTTCACCCACTTTTAATTAACTTCAAATCATATTTTGATCAAATGGATTAGAGAATATTTGAATTTTTGTGATAGGTGAATCTCTGACCTTGCTGTGAGAGGCCGGAGGATGAGACATCTCCTCTGCTGGTTTGTTAGGTGGATCCACAATGTACGGCTCCGTCTCCTCTGGCTTTCTGCAAGCAAGAAAAATGTGAGAAATAAAGACATATTTACTAATTGATGTATACGGAAGAGGAGAGAGAGAGCTGGGAAAAGAGTTGGAGACAAAGGGAGAGATGGGCAGAGGAAAGAAAGAGAGAGGGGAGCAGAAGGAAGTAGAAGGGAGGAGAAATGGAGAGAAGGTAAAAAAAAGTAGGGAGAACAGAGGAAGGGAAAGTAAAGGAAGGGAGAGCAGATGGGGAAAGAGAGTGGAAGGAAAGAAAAAAGAAGAGTAAAAAAGGCAGGAAAGGAAAATCAAGCAGAGGAGGGGAGGGTAGTGGAGAGGAGAGTAGATGGGGGAAGTGTAGAAGAGAAGGGGGGAACAGAGAGAAGGGAAGGGAAGAAGAAGGGGACAAGAGAAAAGAGGAGAACAGGGCAAGAGAGGAGTAGGAGAAAAAGAGAGAGGAGAAGGAGAAGAGAGAATGGGAAAGGAAAGCAGTTGAAGGGAGATGAGAGTAGATGAGGGGAGAAGAGAGTAGAAGAAGTGAAAGGAGAGAGGGAATGAAGAATGGAATAGGAGAGAAGAGAAAATAGGGTAGGGCAAAGAAGGGGAGTTGAAAGGAGTATGAGAGGAGAGGAGAAGAAAGAGGAAGAAGGGAGGAAAGATGAGAAGCAGAGGATGGGAAAGGAAAGTAGTTGAAGGGAGATGAGAGTAGGTGAGGGGAGAGGAGATGAGAAGAAGGGAATGGAGAGAAGTAAAGAGGAATGGGATAGGAGGGAAGTAGGAGAGGAGAGGGGAAAAAGGGAGAGAAGAGGAGAAAAGGGGGAATGAAGGGGAGAGATGATGGGGGAGAGGAGAAGAGAAGGGGACAGAGAAGAGGGAAGGGAAAAAAGAAGCAAAAAGGAGCAAAGAGGAGAACAGGGCAGGGAAGTGAAAAAAGAGAGGGGAGAGGAGAAGAAGAAGAGAGGAAGGCAAAGGAAAGTAGTTGAAGGAAGATGAGAGTAGATGAGGGGAAAGGAGATGAGAAGAATGTCAAGGAGAAGGGGGAAGAGGAAAAGAATAGGAGAGAAGATAAATACAGATTAGGGGAGAGAAGGGGAGTGGAGAGGAGTAGGAGAGGAGAGGGGAAGAAGGGAGGGAAGAGGAGGAGGGGAGGGGAAAAGAGAGGAAACGGGATAGGAGGAGGACAGGGAAGGAGAATAAAGGAGAGGAGAGGAAAATAAAACAGAGGAGAAGGGAAAGGAGTGGAGAAGAAGGGCAGAATGAGGAGAGGAGGGGAGTTGAAAAGAATGGAGGGAAGAAGAGAGGAGAGGAAAAGGGAAAGGACGAGATAGGAAAGGAATAAAAAGAAAGGTAAGGGAAAGTAGAGGAGAGGTAGAAGGAAATGGAAAGGTATGGAATGGAGAGAAGAAAGAATTTAATTAGTTTGATCTGGTAAAATAAATAATTTTTCCAAAGACTTTGCGTGAAGATGTAGTTGAGGAAAGGAGAATCTTAAATTTGAGAAATTCCTCCTGGGCTGGTAAGTGTTTTCTGTAAAAAGCAGATGCCTTTTTCCTCAGCAATTTCCAAACCAAAGCAGGACATTTCTGTTCATGCTGCCAAATGTCGCCATGGATAGTATATACCAAAATGATGATGTGAGGAAGGCAGAGGTTATTACTCATCCTCGTGTCTCCTCCAAGGACTGGTGGATGGGCCATTAAAAAAAAAAAAAAATCCAAAAAATGAAAATCAGCATTGTGGATGGGGAACAAAAAACATGACCCCTTTATATAAAATGGCAGGTGGGTACTCACCCTCCATATGCACCAAATGTGAAGCTTCGTTTGCGGGAGAACATCTGGAATCGTTCCATATGGACCGTCTATCCCGTATTCTGGAAGCTGTGAAGTTCTCATGGATCTGAGCAGGAAGAGAGAACTGGAGTTATTGAGGGGCCACCTGCATGGCAGAGGCTGCAAGATTCTCAGCCTGTCTAATGAATGTCAAAGACAACACATGAAAGGGAATAGGAAAATGTCATCGAGACAATCAGTGAGTGTCCCCCATGGAGAGTGCAGGCCCCCCTCACAGAGACAGACAAGGTTCTGTCTTATGGGCCTTCTCCTCTGCGTTGCCGTCAGTCTCTTTATCTCCCTCCTCTTCATTGTCTCTCTCTGTCCTCTAAACTGTCACACGTTATGGGACCCCCCGCTGCCGATTCCTCCTGTGGGGACGGTGACATTAACTAGTGAGAACAGCATGGAGCTCTCGCAGTAGACGTGGGAATGGCTTTTGCTTATTTAAACACGTCAATACAGACAAGAAGGTATTATGCTCGCTGGGCTCCGGAAGGCCATATTTTTCTACAGTGTACTATCAAACTAAGTTATAGCCACTTATATACAATTGTAAATCTAATTTAACTTTTTGGTAAATGTTAAGCTAAAACTCTGCATATTGCAATCTTTAAAATAAAAAATAACAGTTTACATTATTTTGAGTCTTTGATTTGTCCACTTTTCCTGTTCAATGCTTATTGTCAGTCAGGGCTCTGTCTGTTTAATTCCAAGAATATAAAATGTTGAGAAATGATAAAACACAACAGTTTTTGGATTTTTTTTAACATATCTTCATAATGCAGTTAATGCAGGCCAGAAATGTTGCACATGTAGTGGACACTATCTATAAAATGTATTACTAGGAGATGGTTACTGTACTCCTTACAGGGCAGCAGGAAATTGCCACTGTGTATACCACTAGGCTTCAGATAAGGGGCACTCATTTTGTCACTGGGAATTTAATAATTAGCACCATGTGACCATTGGGCATCAGAAAAGCGGCACTCATTATGTCACTCAGAATGAGGAAATTGGCACCATGTGACCATTGGGCATCAGGTAAGGGGCACTCATTATGTTACTCAGAATAAGAAAATTGGCACCATGTGATCATTGGGCATCAGGTAAGCGGCACTCCTTATGTCGCTCAGAATGAGGAAATTGGCACTGTCTGACCATTGAGCATCAGATAAAGAGCTCTCATATCACTCAGAATGAGGAAATTGGCACTGTGTGGCCATTGGGTATCAGATAAGGACACTCATTCTGTCACTCGGAATGAGGAAACTGGCACTGTGTATACCACATGGAATCAGGAAATTGGCACTGGCTATACCTCTGGCAACCTGATACCTTACACTGTATGTAGCACTCCTCTCTCCATGGCAGAATGATCCTCAAGATGGCGTGGCAGGCTAGCATTTTTCATCTCAGGGCAGGTTCGTGTCTTATTCTAAGGAAAAAAACAAACAGCCTCAGTCACTTTAGTCTTTTCTAGAGATTATTCACACAATAAATACTGGATTGAGTGTTAGGGGCACAGGATACCCAACAACGGAAAAATATCTCAAGCCTTTGAGTAGAAGCAAAATTGATAGTGGCTAGAGCAGTAATGAGTGATTTGACCCTATGCGAACAGTCACAGATACCTTAAATGTTGAGCAATGAGGTCTCAATGTCCACCGACAACAGCTTCTCCTAAGCCATTCAGGAAACCTTTCAGCATAGCAGACATTTCTGAAGATGCTGCATACAGGTAGTTGCCTTCCATAGCTTTTTCCAGAGATGCTTCATACAGGTAGTCATCTTCCATAGTAGACTTTCCCAGAGATGCTTTATACAGTTAACCATCTTCCATGGTAGCTTCCATAGTAGAGTTTTCCAGAAATGCTTCTTACAGGTAACCATCTTCCATAGTAGCTGCCATAGCTGACTTTTCCAGGGATGCTCCACATGAGTAGCCATCTTTCATAGTAGACTTTTCCAGAGATGCTCCATACAGGTAGCCATGTTCTTGATTTCGGATTCTCAATACAGGTGGTCATCTCTTGCTCTAGCTCTTTTTGGATGTGGCCTCCAACAAGGAGCAAGCTTAAATTTCTAAGACTTTAGCACAAACCTCCGGCTGGGGCAAAGCCCAAGAAGAGGAGACCTCCTCACAGTGACATCCTCAGCAAGCAAAAGCCCAGGAGGGAAGGCTCCTTCTAAAAGGTGGTGTCAGGGAAGTCCAACTGGACTCCTTAGTACAGCTGGTGCACGGACCACTGCATGTGCCAGTGCTAAAAAATATGGGCGTGGGAAGCGTTTTTGTGCCAACATCGCGCACATGTATGCGCATGCATGTGTGCAATGTCATTTTTTTGCGCAGTGGCACATGCAACAAGCACAAAAAATATAAATAAAGCTCAGGCTGGTTACAACCTACCTGCATACAACACTAAAGGTATCTAAAGACCCTCCAGCTTAAGGCAAGGTCCCTACATGTACTGTATAGTCCACAGGGTATTACTGTCAATGCCACTGAGCACCAAGAAATTGGCAATGTACGGTACATTATATAAAGTACTAGGCATCAGGAGATTGTTATTTATCACTGAGCACCAGAACACGGTATATACCAACAGTCAGAAACGTGGCACTATCTATACCACTGGGGACCAGAAAAATGGCATAGCATATACCACTGGGCATAACAAACTGGCTTTGTGTATATCACTGACCACCAAAAAAGTGACTATACCACTAGCCACCGGTAAACTGTCAATGTATATAACACTGGGTATCAAGAAATTGGTATTATGTACCACTGGCCACCAAGTAACTGCCGCTGACACAGGGTATTAAGAAATTGCCACTGTCTATACCACAGGTCACTAACACACATTGTAAATACCACTGGGCACAAGTTAACTGTACGATGTGAACCATTAGGCATTAGGAAAATGGCAATCTATACACCAATGGCCACCAAGAAACTGGCACTGTATATACCACTGGAATTAGGAAATTGGGCACAGGCAGGGCTGGATTTCCTACAAGGCCAACCAAGGCCCGGCCTCAGCAGGGAGTAGAGGGGCAGCAGGGGTATGGAATTCCTATCTCCGATGCCCAGGAAATGCAGTTCCAGGCGCCGGGCGGGTAGTTTTCTACATTTAGATATGCTTTGGGCAAGCAGAGATAAATGTACAGCGGGGTGATGTCGCCGAGATCACTTGTATGCAGCCTGCAGGTCTGCCATTCTCCATGGGGTGGGGGGTTGGCGGGTAGGGGAGGAACCTGGCCTTGGGGCAGCAGAGAGAGTAAATCCGGCCATGGGCACAGGGGATAGTGTCACCATTTATTCCACCAGGTAGGTGTTGTCTACACCACTGAACAGCAGCAATTATTCGCTGCCAAGTTAAAAAAAACAAATTAGCATTTGCTTAGAGAGACTATAGGCTGGTAAATATACAAAATATAATCAGTTTGATGCCAAACAAAGAACATTCCAACCTCGGGTAAGATGGTTTAATTTCTCCCAGCAAGTAAGTGTTTTCAATCAGTTATACGGGGTGTGTCTCTGGACTGTGCCAAACCAGTGATCTGTGTACAATGAATTGTATCAGGAAGCAGAAGGTGAATCCTGCCGCCAATGTACTCCGTACACAACCAGGCCAAGCAAAGCGCACGATAAAAGAGTTGTCAGGAGACAAAAATATAATCATTATGATTCACATTTCATAGAACAATGATGATAATTGTTTGTCGTATAAGCAACTGGCTATTAAAGCTATACATAGATGTTAGTCTTATGACAGCAATTAAAATTGAGTTGCAGTACGTGGAATTGATATGGCAATTTATATTGCACTGTCAATACAGGCAGCGCTTACATACTACCCTTTCACTGCCCCCCAAGGAGCTTACAATCTAAGGTCCCTATCTCACATACTCAGACAAGGGCCAAGTAACCTACCGGTATGCCTTTGGAGTGTTGGAAGAAATATATGCAAACACAGGAAGTACATGCATACCTGTGCCTTGGTTGGGTTTCAAACCAAGGGCTTCAATGCTGCAAGGCAGGGAGGTTAACCACTGAGCCACTGCTTCGCCCAGGGCTTGAAGTAACACAACCTGTTCATGGGCTTTTTTTGATTGGCAGTTTTAAAGGTCATCTGCAAAACCTGTTAGCAAGCACTTACAAAACACCACCAGGGAAATATAAAGGCTGCTTTCCTTCTGAAAATTCTAGCTGTCTAGCTTATCCAACATTTTGAGTGACTGACCTGGAAAAAGGTATTGGAACCCAAGCCTCAATGTTACCGTTAGGCAAAATGCATTATTGAAAAAGAGGTCAGTAAAGACAGTCCCTATATTTGTCTCCAACCAGGAGCGTTTTTAAGACACGACTTAGCTCTAATAGTTACATGTTACACTGGAGCGAGGTAGGGCATGTACCCTGAAATATGGCTCAACAGAGTTCAAATCCAAGATATCACCAGCACACCATGTTCAGATGAATGCTTCCTGTTGGGGACAATAACGTACGATGTCATATCTGTAAAAAATAAGTCAAGGCAACTGGACTTGCTGTATTTTTCTTGAAGACGTTTCACTGGTCATCCAACCAGCTTTCTCAATTCAGAATGACTTGTACAAGACATTGAGCCTTGTTATTTGCAGGTAGGCTGTAACCAGCATGTGATTTATTTATATTTTCTGTGCTTGATAGGTTTCACCTAAGCCAAGAACATTAATCATTTCTGCCTACTGCTGTTGAGTTGTCTCCAGCAGTTAATGTGATAAGTAACAATGTGTGAGTCATGAATATGTATCTGCTTTAGCCAATCATTGAGAGTTTTAGACCAGTGATGTGAGCTGAGGAGAGAGAATAAATATCTTGACCCACCTGTCAGGGAAGTCCAGCTGGTGTCCTTAGTGCAGTGCAGCTGGTGCACAGACCACTGGACATGCCACTGCGCAAAAATATGTGTGTAGGAAGCACTTTGGTGTCATCATCACACAAATGAATGCGCATGCATGTACCCGATATTGGCACCAAAACGCTTTCTACGCGCATATTTTTGCGCAGTGGCACATGCAGCTGTCCATGCACCAGGTGTACTAAGGAATCCAGTTGGA